CACACTGCTGGCTCATGGTTAACCTGTCGTCCACCAGGACACCCAGGTCCCTCTCCGCAGAGCTGCTCTCCAGCAGGTCCACCCCAAGCCTCTACTGGTGCATGGGGTTGTTCCTCCCCAGGTGCAGGATCCTGTACTTGCCCTTGTTGAAGCCCTTGACATGAGTTCTGGTCAGTAGCAACAGACAGGGCAGACAGTCGTGCAAAGTCAGGGCAGACCCGTGCTTGACAAGAGAGAACATCTGGTCTCCCCAACACTGGAATTCCACAAACCAAATACATAATCTGAAAAACAGCAGACACTTCAGGCCTATTTAAAATAACGAGTCTGCCTTTTTTGGGGGGAACAAAATATAAAACTGATGAATGTAGTTTGTATCCAGAGGCATTGCTTGTTTACAAAAAGGTCAAGAGTTTCTCCAACAATTTTTATGTCCTTGAGAAAGATGATGACTTTGCAGTATTTTTCCCCCTCGATGAGCAGGACAGTTTGCATGCCTTTGGAGTGCCTTCTATACAGACTGTGGTATTTTATGACTGGAAATAATAAGCAGTATGCACAGTATTTATAGTTCTGCTTTTGTTTTTATGAAGATTATTTCCAAAGGAAAAGATGGATATTATATAGTGCTAATACTGTGCTAGCCCAGTACTTCAATAGATGAGACTTTGGGTGGTCGTGAGACCAATGGCTTTACACTGTTGGCAGGATTAGAAATAGTGATAAATAATATTGGAATTTAATAGTCAAGTTCCAGAATTCTGTCTTGAAGATTTTTGTTTGTCCATTCTACATTTTTTTGTGTTTAATTTATAGTATTTTCCTGTCATTGAATATGAAATACACTTGCTGCAGCTTGAATACGCTCCATTTTGTCCTGTCAGCTTAAACTAGCTCTTTCCTTGTTTACAACATCTTTTTTTCTTATTTGTAAGACCTGTTTCTTTTTCCTCTGGATTGTACAAATGTCTTTTCAAAGAACTGTAGCACCGCAGTGAAAATTCTTGCCAATCAGTCAGAATTGAGATCTGGGTCTAAGTATTGAGCTGGCTTATTCTCATGCGAAAGAGCAACTATTGTCTTTGACCTCTCAATTGTTGTTACACAGTAGGACTCGGGAGCCTGAACCTACTAACTTCTTGCAGCAGGGCTGTGAGATCTACCGGGACTATCCCCGTCAGTAGGGTTCTGTAACAATCTGCCAAATTCTTTTGGATTCCTTCATTTATTTTTAGAGCAAACGACAAATGGTCACAGCGTGGAATACTCCAGTTCAATTTCTTAGTTTACTCTAAAGCTCACTACAAATACAAATCTGCATTTTTGGTACTGATGATTCTTTTCTTTTAATACCTGGTTTTGAACAGCACTAAAGTGCTACATGTGAATCCAGTCCAAGGAAAGACAGGTATAAACGTATATTCAGGAGAACACAAAGGAGTATGGGTTTGATTTTCATACTCTTGATACAAAACTTTTAATCTTCCCTTGTTTGTATTTTGTAGTACGACAAATTCCATTACTGATTTTTTATTTCCAGAACTTAAGCTGCATCACCGTTTTGAGCGAATCAGCTCACCAAAAGGAAAAAGCAGTATGACAGATCTCTGAAACTGCTTGTGTAGGTGAATATAGATTTTTCTTTGAAAGATTGTTTACAAATGACAGAGAATCTTTCTCAAAGCATATGGCATATTTGCCATGTTACAGTTGAAAAGCTCATGCACCTCTCATTTTAGTCTCACCGACAGGAAAATTCAGCTTTCAGTTGCTATTGAACTTCTGCTTTTCACTGCATTCCAGACACCAATCCTGTTTATCAGTTACTTTGGAATTTTGCTGGTAATCCCTGCATTTTTAATGACACTTAGCAAAGATGCCTTTCCTGTAAGGACTGAAATGTAAGATCGCAAGTGGGCCTATACACCATGCTTAAAACTAGGTACTAAAGTACATTGATCTAAATAGTATTTTTTAGTTACATTTCAGTTTTTGCAGGACCAGAAGAATAGACTCACAGGTAGCATACTTGCAATTGCTCTGCAGTTCTTAATTCTGGAAATCATTGTCTATTGTAAGCCTGCAGATCTCCCCAGACAGACCTGTGCGACTGAGCCTTTCTTTACCTCGTGCTGCTCCATAAAGATGGATCTGATATGGAAAGAGCTTCGCTATCTAAAAGTTAACCGTCCATCTTAGGAACTCTGAATGCCTTCTGGAAGTCCGTACCTTTCCTTGTGAGCTGTTCAAAAAACCTGGCTCCCCAGACGGGGTCTGAATTGCTGTCCTCATCAGAGTTCAAGGATGGGTGACGGGCATACTGTGTTAGTGCCACTCAGTTTGTAAGATGCTTTCCATGGCAGATGATGTGTGGGCATTCAAATTGATACACCACACACTAAAAGCATATCTAAGCATAAAAGAATAAATGGTTTAAATATGAGTGTCTAATAGTCAGAATAAAACCTATTACCCATAACAGTACTACAAATGGAAATTTTCTGAAAGCTTTTTTCCCCTAACTAGAGTTATGAAAAATCCTTAGTAAGTTTTATCTACAGAAGGAAGATTTTCTGATTAGTAAGTCTGTTCTCTCCATCTGCCAATTGTTTTGTAACTCATGTTGTTTCTTTTTTTAAAGGAAAGTCCTTAAAGTCCTTTCGCCTTTCTAGTCCACCCTCCTCAAAATAATAATGAAGTGGTAAGAAGCAGCCAAATAAAGAGGGTAAGGGAGGAAAGAGCTAACACTGCTGTGTCTCACTTTCAGAAACCTAGCTACACATCAGCACGTCTGTGTGCTCAGGTAGAAGTGGTCACAAATTTCCTCCACCAGCACCCCTGGCTACCTAGATACCCGCCAGCTGTAGCCCAGGAAGAGCACTGCTGTACCAGGACAGTCCTGAGATGAGGCTTATGTACACATCCAGAGCCAGCTGTTTATGTATGTGGAACTTAGCGTATGCACAGTAAAATAAACCTGTATCTGTCAATCAGGACTTCTGAATCTGATCCTATACCTGTTAGCACAAGTGCAGAGAAGACTGAGCTGTAATGTCTATTAGCCTTTTTCCTCCAAACCTTGTAAGGAATATCTATAAGGATCTTTGACCTCTCCGTGACTGAGAGAATAAAGAAAAAGATACGCAGGAGACGCTTTGCGGTCAGGCGTGCACAGGTATGGCTCTGAGCTGCCAGAGTGCCTCACCGTCTGCATATCAGCTCTGATCCACAGGGTTTCGCACACTCCAGAAACCACACGTTTCACTCACTGGAGCGAGTTAGTGCAGCACTGAGCAAAGAAGCCCCATCTCTCAAGAACAGCCTGATGCACAAGATGATGGCAATAATCA